AAACTTGGGTCGTGTCTTCCCCCCATATTTTGACAGATTCTCAGAAGGCCAAAGCTGGTTTGAAGTCTGACAAAGCTGGGCATCTCCCAGCATCCCACAGCAGTGTGGGAATGTCTGATTAAGCAGGGTAGTTAACAGGATCCTGCCTGATGAAGAAAGGTTGGTGCAGTTCCCAGCTATCATTTGCTGTTTAACATGTAAATGTATGCTCAGACAGAGAGGCACTGCAGCACTGAGATGTGCTGCAGTCAGGTTTAAAGGGTGAAAGCACCAAGGAATATTGTTTCCTGGCTGAGCCCCTGTCTCTGAGGGAAGCTCCACGGATCTCATCTTCCAAGCAGTCCCTTTGCCAGTGAGAGCCATAATGACTGCACTTCAAAACCTGCAATACACAAACGTGAACACTTCAGGTGCCACCGACTCCAGTGCACCCCAGAGCACTCAGCCAGGTGTAAATGACTTCTGGCAGCCAAAGGCAGAGAGCTCATCAATATTGCAAGTGGCAGTCCCCTGGTTAATGCAATCCTCCTGCAACTCTCAGCCCATGCCAGCAGCAGCAGGAATGCTCCTGCTCTAGGGCAGTGATCCTGCTGGAGACACCTGATCTTTGAAAGAAAACAATTTGCCAGCAGGTCCTGCTGCTGCCTTAGTGCTTGGTGACAGTGATGATGTGCTCCACGTTCTCCTGTTTAGCTGTGTGGAATGTAATCAAATACCAACAAATTAAAAACTAATTCTTGCCTGTAATATTCATGCTCACCATCATCACTACCAAGTAGATAAGCCAGGTCTTACCAGTTGTAAGTTAAATGATCGTTATTCAAAAGTGTAAAATTAAATCAATTTCTTCTAAACAGACAGCAAATTTACTTTCAGGGCCTTAGGGAATTTTAGGTTCAATAATAATCTACTTGGAGCGGATCATCCATACAACAAAAAAAACCCAGAGAAACACAGATTGTGCATCAAGCTTCCTGGATATGGATGGCAACTTTCACATTTCCCTTTGCAGCCCTGGCTATTTCTTGGGTATCCTGTTGTGAAATAGCTGCAGTGGATACAGATGTCATGTGCAGGAAACACACAATGCAACAGCACACAAACCCTGTGTCTCACTTGTGCTAAAATCAAACCTCTGAATATCCAAATTATTCCCCTGGGCTGAGAAGCAACAGTCTGTGTACTTAAGGGAAAATACCGTCCCCTACAAGATGTGGCTGAGTGAGGGGGAAGGATTCAGATATAACCCTGAGAAGGTGCCACAATGCCACGAAATGGTTTGAGGTTTAGAATGTACCTTAAAATCATCTCATTCCCAGCCCCTGCTATGGGCAGGGGAGACCTTCCAGTAGCCCAGGTGACTCCAAGCCCTGGCCTTGGACACTTCCAGGGATCCAGGGGCAGCCACAGCTGCTCTGGGCACCCTGTGCCAGGGCCTCCCCACCCTCACAGGAAAGAATTTCTTCCTAATTAGTAGCTCTGCTGAAACTGAAAGCATATCTTTAGTGAAGTGTGCAGACAGGAGAGAAGCCAGAGCCAGAACACAGATCCACCTTGGCAGAGAACTGCAGCCCACACCCACACAAGGCAACCTTGAGAGCTTGCAGAAGAAAAGACAGTTTGTAGTTTTAAAAAAATTATTAAAATACTAAGATTTTGGATGCCAGCCTCTACTCTGCAACTAACAGTTACATCTACAAACTCTGAGATGGCCCCCAGAGTGAAACACCTGCTCTCAACTCCTGTTAATTAAGAGGTGTTAATGGGGAGGAGGTGGATTCCCAGCAAAGGCAAAGATATGAGTTACCGGTGAAGGTGGCAAAGATAACAGAATCAGTCTCGGTACTAAAACACCAAAACTATTTCACAGGTGCACTGGGAGAATGATCTGTTGCTCCCCAAAGATTTCAGCTCTTTCACACTTCCCTCCTCTCACAGGCATGATCCAGGATATTTTTAATACAGCAGACTGTGAGTAAAGGACACACTTCCCATCCTAACCTCTATGCCAAGTCTCAGCAGAATGTAAAGTGCCCTACTCAAACCCCTGGAGATTAGATTTTTCCGACTGCATTTCCATTGGTTTCCCTTCTGCAAGTTCACAGGAGGCTGCTGTTTATTTACTGTGGTGAGTTTACCGAGTAAGACAGTAAGTGATGTAAGCACCTAAGAAATAAAAAGAAAGCAGGGCAGAAAGAGGGCAAAGGTAATAGCCAGAGTGGGATCAAAACCAGAATTAGTTAACTGAAATCAGGAAAGCAATTCAGGAAGAGCTGAGGGCTTTAAGCCTCCTGCAGAGAAAAAACAGGCAATGTCCTTCAGGATACCAGGAAAAGCTTCAGTGACTCCTGTACTGCAAAGCACAACATTTGTTCCAGGAGTTTTGCCTGTAGAAATTTTAAAATTGACCTGGCATTCAAATATCCAGAGTCTGCACCTTTATTACACACTAAGAAAGGAGGCTGCAAAGGTAGGAAAGCTGAAAATCAGGATAAAGGGATACATTGAAGATGTTTTTCCAGCAGTCTGATTCCCGGTGGGTAGCGCCCTACACAGTAAATTATTTCTAGGGAAATGAATGGGGTTGTTTGTGAAGCAGAACAGCTCGGGGTTTCCCCTTTCCAAGGGCTCTAAGCCCTGAGAGACAGCCCTTCAACAGCCTGGAGATTTACTGGCTGCTCCTGGGAAGGAGTCAGGCTGAAAAACCTGGGTGGAAACCGTCTGCATACAGTTACTCAATCACAGACCTGTTACACAGAGCTCTTCCTGTGCGAGAGAAACAATTACCCAAATCTTTTATTTCATGGAAACACAGGTTTGGAGCAGCCCTGGGTCAGAACTAAGGCACGAGACAGCACAGAACCACCCACCCACCCCGAGAGGTGCCCAAGAAATGATTTCTATATTTCCACTCCCAACACCGCCACACCTCAAACCGTTTTGCAGCGTGCAAAGCTCCATTTCCACGGTTAATCTGACCTCGTGGCCACACAAACCCCAGCAGCAGCCCTGTGCTCTCACCGAGTTGGACGCTCTGCACGCGGCCCCCGATGCGGTCGGTCGCCTCGAGGACTGTTACATCCGTGAATCCGCTTTCCAGGAGCGCCTTGGCTGCCGACAGGCCCGCGAGCCCAGCACCGATCACGACTATTCGAGGCTGTCGCTTTCTCCGTAGGCCACTACTAAGAGGATCATCCGTGCTGTCTGCAGATATTTCACAACTTTGCATGCCGTCCAAGCTCTCTTTCTAAGGAACCTGTGGGAGGAAGCAGACAGGTGTGTTCAGGGAACTCAGATCCAGCTTATCCTCCGCAGTTAAAAGGATCAAAAATTAAGATGACCAGTGGAAAAGAAAAACTTGGTGAATTAGACCCAGCCTTCAACATGGGATGGCAAAGAAAGGATAACTGAGGTCAAGCTGGGATGCAAAACAACTTTTTAGCCCGGAGCACCAAGAAGTCCAGAAATCTCCACCCTTTCATGCCATGTAGACTATTTCCAAACAAATCAAAGGACTTTCAAACTCCCATCTTTTTATATAACCTCCAAAAGTGGTAATTTTGTGGTGAAGACTTTTAGAAGAAAGAGAACCACGTCCCCAGTGCTGACAAGCTCCACAACCCAGCAATGAAGCTCCACTTTGCCACTGTGGCAACCACAAAGCCTGAATTTCAGATCCTCTAAGTAGTGGAGGAGGTAAGGAGGATTTAGCTCAAAGCAAGGAAATCGGATCTCAAACCAGCCATTACAGAATGTTTCAAGTGATCAAAGTCAACAAGGGCCAGTCCAAAATTTCACAAAATGTAGCCCCTGGAGCCAACACTGTCCTGCCACATCAGGGTCAGCCTCAGGCTCAGATGTGGAGAGGTTCAAACCCACACCAGTCCTGACTAGTCCAAATCTACCCAAATCTCCACCTACCAATATATCCAACTGCTCCCCCAAGCCAGACCCTGTTTTCCTTTGCAAACTCCTAGAAGACACCTTTTTACTGCTATCTACCCTTATTTCTCAGGTCCCATCACATCATTTTAGTAGGTGGGACCACGGCCTGAGCCCATGGTTAAGGTTCTGCCCTGACCAGGGATGAGCAGTGCAGGATGTCTTTATTCACAAAAGCCAGTGTATACTTAACTGGTTCTGGGTGGTTCACACCTGCCCTCAGGAGCACAAAGGACAGGCTGCAGAGCCCCAACTTGCAAAAAATAAAAAAAATGCCCAGGATTTATCAGCCCTGGAATCAGCTGATGCCCAGTGATTTGGATAAAGCACACACACAGTTCTTGCCTCCCCCTCCTCCCCCCCCCAAATAGAGATATCCAAGGAGCTCGCAGTGTGCTGCCTCTACCTGTTGCCAAGATGCTGGATATCCATTCTGAGTTCCTCCTCAGTTTTCCCAACATCTGGCCACTGACAAAGATTCCTACTCCTCTCTTCCATCACCAGAAGGGTCGACTTAAAACACTGCTGGCCTACTGCAGTATACGATCACAGGAACTAATGAAGCACAAAGCAAACAGTAGTTTCATTTGGAGAGTCCCTTTTTCTCCAAGATTTCATAGAATTTATGTGTGTTGACCAAGCAAAATTCGCTCTCTGTAAGGGAGCTGACACCAGACTGCAGCTGGCAGGGATTTGGGCAGTGGTATGAAGAGGAGAGTGGTCCCATTGGAGCTCTGACAACTCTTTTGAAAATGTTTGGTTTCAACTGAAACAGCTTCAGCTCAATCCACCCTTCTGTGGACTCACCTGCAAGAGGGATTAGCACAGTGTGTGCAAACTCTGATTCTGCCACTGCAGCTTGTCCCAGCCAGCCCTGCATCAGCTCCAACTGCCACTGCAGCAGCTTCCAACGGCCACAGCCCAACAGATCATAGAATTCTCATGGATCCCATTCCCATCCCCTGCCATGGCCAGGGACACCTTCCACAAGCCCAGGGTGTTCCAAGCCCTGTCCAGCTTGGACTTGGACACTTCCAGGTATGCAGGGGCAGCCACAGCTTCTCTGGGCACCCTGTGCCAGGGCCTCACCACACTCACAGGTAAGACCTTCATCATAATGTCCAATCTAAAGCTCTCTCCAGTTTAAAACTGTTCCCTCCTTGTCCTGTCACTGTCTGCCTGTGTAAAACATCACTCTCTGTCATTTTTGTAAGTCCCCTTTAGGCCCTGGAAGGGGCTCTGAGCTCTCCCTGGAGCCTTCCCTTTTCCAGGTGAGCACCTCCAGCTCTCTCAGCCTGGCTCCAGAGCAGAGGGGCTCCAGCCCTTGCAGCATCTCCATGGTCTCCTCCAGACTCAGTCCAGCTCCACATCCCTCTGATGTTGGGGGTCCCAGCACTGCAGGTGGGGTCTCACTAGGGCAGAACAGAAGGGGAGAATTCCCTCCTACAGACATTCTATAACTCTCTCCCCTTCTCATTCTCCTGGTACCACTTCAATCCATGTATTTTCATTGCCACAGTACAGGAACTTCTTTTCTGCCACCTATATCCAGTAGAAACTGAAGGGGTTTAGCTCAGTTTTTTAAGCACAGCTTTCCTAATCCTGATTTTGGCAAGCTCCTGTGAATTCTTTACATGAAAGCTCCACAAAAATGGTTTTCCCTCTGTTCTTTTTTACTTTTTTATTTTAATACTGGATTAGGTGACCTGTCTAGACAGATGAGAAAATAACAGGGTATTTTGTGTGTACAGAACCCTGATCTGGAAACCACCCTTAATTAGCCAACAACCTGTACCATATGATCAGCAAGGAAAGGCAATTAAAATTTAGCAAAAGCTTGAGTTTTCCAACCATGATCCACGTTCCACAGTGGAATGAACAGGTGATACAAATACAGGAAGTCCCCACTACACTTTACTTCAGTCCCAATTATTCCTTCTGGGAGAATCATGAGTGAGACAAGCAGGTAAAACACAGCTCACTGTGTGCAGTGCTCTCCCTTCAGCACTTGCCAAGCCACCAGTCAGGGCCTGAGCCAGTGGGTATTACCAGGTTCTCTGACACAAAGACAGTTTGGCTTTTTACTTCTTCTTGATTGCCAAAAAGGGTTGGGTTTTTTTGGATTTTGGGGTGGTTTTTTAGGTTTTTTCTCTTTTAATCACAGGGTAAGAAATGTGTTGACGGTTGCACTGTGAATCTCTCTCAGACTGTAATTTTACTTTGTGTCCATCTAAGAGCAAGGGTAGCACTAAATCACAGCTTCACTGAAAGTAAAATTCCCCTGCTTTGTGTTGCTTACAGCCTTCCTGTGACACAGCCAACAGGCACTGGTTGCCCACAAGAAGAAAATATCCAAATACACATCTTCCTTTTGTCTAAAGCATGCAGCTTTGATCCTCTCAGCTCATGTACCTGTGTCTCACTCAGGATATTTTAATCACTTCTACTTCAGACTTGTCCCCTTTTCTTAATTGTCCCTATCACCATTCTGTCCCTGACTCCTTAGGAGAAATTACCCTCCATTCATCCCCTCTCACTTTCCTTCATTCAAAGAAAAACAACAAACACCTTTTAAAAAATCCCTAAAACCAACCCCCCCCAAAAAAAAAAACCCTTAACATAACTGCTGTTTTCCAGCAGACAAATCTTCACAAAAATGTATCTTCTAAGATGGGCATCACTCTACCAAGCCAGAATCATGGGCTTCCATTCCTGGCATTTGTACCTGCTACAAGTTCAGTGGGCTGACAATTTCATGATTTTTTTTCCCCCATTATTTTGCCAGTAAAACCTTGCAGGTCACAAGGAAGAAGCCAGAGAATTAAGGCAGTTCAGAGCTGCCCTCCTTATTACAACAATACTCTCTGATCAGGCAATTCTTCCAGGACCCTTCAAAAAGGTCACTAAAGCTCCAACTATTTAAAAATAGAAAACCAAAATAAACAAAAGCATTTCTCAAGGAAATCTGCTATTCTTAGCTCATCCAACTACTCCTGTGGTAGTATTGTTGTAGCCCTGGTGACACAAAGACTTGGGCAGGACAATGCTCTGGAAACAAGGCTTGGCTAAAGGTTGGTTGGGATTTGGGGGTTTGTTTGGGGCTTTCCACTGGGATTGGTTAATCTTTAAAAAGTGACCTTCCTTCAGACTCTGTATCATGCAGCAGATTGTTATTTACCCGTGAGCTGGGACTGCTGGCACTCCCAGACCAAATTCATGGTTATTCCAGTGGGACCCATCTCACCCATCATTATTTCAGGTGTGCATTTGCTGCCCACAGCCTTTCAGGGCATGGAGAGGAGGAGTGATCCATCCTGCTGACCTCTGGCATCCCTGTCTCAGCATGGCCAAGCTGAAAGGGAGCTTACAGCCAGTTTAAAACAGTCACCTGACCTTTCTCAGTGCTCTTAAATTGTGTTGAATCAACTGCCTTCACATTATCAAGTGTAACAGCCAGTCTGGAGGGTGAGAAATGCATCATCAACACAAACAAATTCCCTGCTGACCACAGAGACCAGCAGAAAAAATTACCAGAATCACTTTATTCCCTGTAGGTTTTTAGTTGATGAGAATTAAGCATCATCCCTAATCAGAAAGCTAAGCAATGATATTGCATGTGTTTGAAAGGAACTCGGATAAAAGCAACAAGAGTCAGCTGAAAGACTAAATGGAAGCACAAGAAATAAACATACTACTATTTCCTCATTATTTTAAGTGTAGCTATTCAAAATACTATCAACACATGAAGGGCCACTGCACACACATGTGTTTATAATGCAGGTTTGTCATCACAGCCTGAAAGTGTTTACAGAGAAAATTTGACACCAAATTAATTCAATCTAAGCAGAGACAAAGTGAGATTGAGAAACCAAGAGCAGAAGCTAGAAAAAAAATCACAACAAAAATAAAGTATCTAATTTTAACAGTGGCACTAATCAGCTGTTGAAATACTTTTCTCTAAAGACAGTGAGGATATTGGTTGAAGCTTTCAGCTCAGGATCCAATCTGTCATAAACATTTACACCCCAGTCCCAGCAGAAGATGGGGTTGTGGTGCTGGGAATTATCCTGCCAATTCAATGGAGATGGTGGCCAGGTTTGAATTGCAAAACAAAATTTTATGGCCTTTGCACCTCAGGAATCTACCATGATGAAAACAATAAAAAACCCCAAAAACAGTAATAATAATACCAACGAACTTGCTGGTCAAGAGTTTCAAATGCCTTTTTTCAGTAGATGTAATAACCTCTATTATTTCATCAGCTGCATAAGGAAAAGTGTTTATCTAAAAGCACTGTTAGCTGAGCCCAAAGGCAAAAGCTCCATGACAGAAAGGTGACTTATTCAGCAGATGTAAAGACACTGCAGTTGTTAGGCCATTAACTCATTACACAGCCCAGCACTGCTTGTACTGAGTGTGGCTGTAGTGAGTAACCCTCACCTAAGCAACTGTAATAACAATTTCCAATCACCATCTCTAATGCACCTTTTTCCCTAAGCTGAGCGAGAAGTGCTTGGAAGGATTATTCTGGTTGGAGCAATTTTATCTCCTTTAACACCTTTGCAGGTTTCAGACTCAGGCTGTTCCCTGAGCACAGGTCAGGACAGATCATATCTGTGAGCAGATACAGAACTGAAGTGGAAGGGATTTCTGGGCTGGCTCCAGCGCTGCCTGTCAATGCCTGCCCACGCCAAGCTGTGGTTCTCCTGGCACAACAAACAAGCATTTTGTAACCTCTCCCTCCTTCCTCCTTTCATCAGCCCTCTCAGACACAAGCACATTAATCCCTACTGCCTATTATTTCAAGATGCTCTTTCCAAGCTCTCCATGCTGCAAACACGTCAAACTGGAAGATGTGTCTCTTTTTTCCCTTCTCCCTCCTTTTTAACCCAGCAGGCTGTACGCCAAACTCACAACCCATTTCAAAATCACCATTTACACCCCTTCAGGAGTGTTATTAATTGATCCCAAGCCCTCCACATCAGTGAGACACAGGGGGTGACACCAGCCTGCCGTTCCAAGCTGCCTTTGTACAGGCGTTGTGCAAACACCAGCCTGGGCCAGCTGCATCTGCAGCTCCACAGGAGCACTGGAAGCAGACACACCTCATTTACTCAGAGCTGCAGGAGCAAGGTGATGCTCTACAACCCTCCCTGTACATACCAGAGACCTTCCCAAGCTCATAAACCTGTGTCACCGACAGTATCACACCACTGGGATCAAGGTTAACTCGTGTTACACCTGCACATGCTGGCAGCTCACCTCCAGCTGCTGGGCTGAAACCACCTGCAGTGGCACTTCCTCGTCAGCTTCGTGCTCAGCCTTTATCCAAGCCAGGATTTTAGTATGAATAGGTGTGCTCAGACTTTATCCAAGCTAGGATTTTAGTGTGAACAGGTTTGCCAAGTGGATTCAGCAGTCAGAGCAAGTCACTCGGCCCCAGCCCAGTTCTGCTCCCCTCTTTTGCAGGCATCTGTGTGTAGGCAGAGACCTGTTCTGACAGCAACTGAAGTGTGGGTCAGAAAGGCTCTGCTCCAAGCAGGACCATCACCAGCATGGTCCCCTTGAAATAGTGTTTTCCAATACTTGAAATAAAGGAAACAGATGCAAAATCCCTGCTTTTCATATCAGTGAGAATTGATTCTCCTATCACCTCTTCCTGCCAGACCAGAGCAAAGAGCCTTCCAGATGCTGCACGGGGACACGTGAGCCTGAGTGAGCAATCCTGCTTGGTCTCAAGGAGGTTTTGAGTGGAACATCTCCATCTCTGCAGCACCCTCTCTACTGCATCCCACACCATTTATCCTGCGTGCCTCATCTCTGCCCACCAGCCCTCACGATGGAAAGATGACCAAGCTCATCTTTCTCACCATGGTGGTACAAGGAACTCAGACTGACAAAAACAATCCAGTACTCCTGTGCCAAGAAGCAACTTGTGTCCTGCCTTGTGTTTCCACAGGCAGAACGTGAAATGGTTTGATTTCCAGAGAGCTGCTGGAATTTATAGGGGTGCCTGTGAGAGAAAAACAAGTTGGAACTGAAGATAAATGTTACCATCCACTACAATTTATCCCTGTAAAAGCCCAAGGCATCAAGCATGGCTCGAGGCACTGAAAATACTGATCTTACATCAGCATCTACCAGCTCCATTTACAAATTACTGACCCACCCCAGTACCTGACACACAGGGAGTGCAGGCTGGATCAGACATCAAGGAAGGAAAGGCATTAATGACACACCACGTGTACTCTTGGACAGCTGAGTGCCAAAATGCTTCCCGTTCTTCCCACACACCAAACCTGCGGCTCGCTCCCAAACCTCCTCAGCATTGGTTTTTCAAAGGCAACAGAGACTTTCAGGCTGGCTCTGCTTCCTCTGGACACATCCCAAAAGAGACAGGGAAATACAGCATTAACCTTTGCCTGTCCAAACTCAGGTCTCCTTTAGTCTGAGAAGTTGACCCTACCAAGCCTTAATTTCACTTACCCCCTCACTTCCAGGAATATCCCTTCCCTTCATCTCAGGAGAGACAGGGCCATACTAAGTTGTCTCCTCTTCCCAAGCTGGGAAGAAGATGTGCTTCTTCAGTGCACACAAAACAAATAACAAACTCTGTAAACTATTCCAAAAGTCATGAAGGAGAAGGAGCCCAAAGCTGGTGGACATTAAAGCTGAGGTCATCAGACATGATGGAGAATACAGGCTCCCATCACAGCACCACTCTGGGGTCCTGCACTGCTGGCCCAGAAAGTGAAGCAGAAATGTTCGAGTTCTTCAACAACAACAAAAAATATTGTTCTGAGGAACGGTATTTTTTTGCAAGTATGATCCAGGACAGCCATCCCCTCTGCCTCTTTCCACAGCATCATCACCCAGGAAAAACAGGGGGGAGGCAGAGAATAAACCAGAGCACTCAGAGAACCACTTAGGCCAAAACAGACCCTTAACCATGACATTTGACATTTCATAATTAACTCTGAATCACCAAAGATGGTGGAACAAGTTCCAGAATAAGATTTCTTTCAACTTTGGAGGCGCCAGGCACCTCCTTTACCACTTGATTTTCCACCAACACACTGAGTGGTCCCCAGAAACACTCGCCCCAAAATCATCTCCAAAATCACCATCTGGGAAAATCTCTGCACTGTTGAAGGTTTGAAAAAGATTAAAACAAAACAAAAAAAGAAAAGAAAAAAAAAGGGTCACTGGATGGTGCTTTTGATCAGGAAACCACTGCACATTTTTACCACTGTGATCCAACTTGTTTTAATGCCTGCAAATATCCCCTGAGTCAAATGAACTTGTTCAAAGCTGATTCACACCAAGGCTACTTTTTAAATTGGGTAGTTGTTGACAAGTAGAATATATTTAACAAGCCCCAAGCGTCTTGGCATGCAGTATAAAGACTTCCTATTATGAGCTGGGTTTTTTTTTTTTAAAGGGAACATATGGGCAGAGCAGGTTGTCTGCCACAGGGCACTTCCATACAGTGCTTGGCACTGACAGAACTGCACAGATATCCAAAAAAATAAACCAAGGAACGTCACGCCAAGAACACAGGGGATGAATCACACCATTTAAAACTCGCTGATAAAATGCACCATTATGTGTTTTTCAAATCCTCCTCATCTGAGGGAAAAGAAATGAAAATAATTGTGTTCCTCTAGCTGAAGAGTACCGTGAGAAAGTGGCAGGCTCTGTGATGGGAGCAGCTAGGAAGGAACACACCTTGCTGACTGGGGCAGCATCTTAATTTATAGTGTGGGGATAAAATGAAAGACCAGAGGATTCTCTCCACCATCACAAACTCTGAGTGGAGGCAGTCATCATCCCCATCTGATTTCCAAAGAAATGAGCTGAGAATGTAGTCTGGACTACTGAGTTTCTCCTGCCCCAGCATCCAACAAGATCAGAAGTGAAGGGCTGTAGCCTGAGGCTACAGCATTACACAGCTAAAAGGAGTTCCACAGCAGTGACAAAAAGAACAGCTTTGGCACGTTCCTTGGGCAACAGAGGAGCAAATCCAGTAAATCCACTGCTCTGTAAATCCCCTGCAGACAGAACAAGCACATGCCATAGCTGGCACATCAGCAACCCCTTGTTTTGGAGGGCTGCACACAGGTAGAAGGTTCCATCTACCCAGAAGACATCCCACCATATCTACCCACCACAGAGACAGCTGTTACTGCCACAACTCTCCTGCTGTGTCAGGAGAAGCTGCAGAGTAGGGGGACACCAGTTGTATTCCACCTGCTGCAGTGACCAGGATATTCCCATCTTAATCCTGGTAACAGAAATCATGATCTAGCCAAGAACTCCAGTGCCTTTGGTTTCCAAATCCTACTGACCATCAGGGATCTACAAACAGCTGGCCAGAATCTAAAACAGTGCATGAAGCTGCAGTTTGGCTCTGTCAGACTCTGACAGGACAAAGGGTTGACAACTCAGGAACAACTCAGAATTGTTGGACTAAACAGGACAAGCAACAACCAGTCCCAAACTGGCCTGCCTTCCCTGTGTCTTTGCCAGCTTGTCAGGCTCTGGTGGAGCCTTGGTGGCAATTTTTCCCTATTTCCAGCTCCTCAATCACACTGAGCATTGGGAGGTATCTGCCAGTCTCACACTCCTGGCAGAAGCAAAGCTTGTTGTTTCAGGACTGTAGAAGGAAGGAAAGACAGACAGTAAATTACGGGGAAAAAAATAAAAGGTTGTAAGTTAAAAACACTGGCATAACTGATAGAACAATGTTGTAAACAAGTTTCCTGCAGAAGTCATATTCCAGCTGCCAAAAAGAGCTGTACCCTATCCCATCTGCACAACCTTGAGATCGTATCTCTTTCACCCTCCTTCTCTCTCCAACTGTTTGGGAGTCTTAATTCATAGAACGAGCCTTAATTAAATAGGAAATATGCCTGTGTTTGCACAACTCAGAACACAATTGTGTCTCAGTCAAATAAACACTGGTGCCCATATTACACTTGGGAATTTGCTGTGGTTTGGGGTTTTAAATTCGTTGCAGCAAGCTTGGGAGAAAAGTTTCAACAGGAATCTTTTCTTCTCCTCCCATCCTCTGTACCAGGAGGGTGAGACAGGGAACAAATCCCCATGCAGAGAGGCTCAATACTGGTTCCAGCTGTATGTGTACATGAGGATCATTTCAGGACACACCATATGAGACACGATAGCCAAAAGCAATTATTTTTCCTCACCACTTCTCAGAACCCAGACCTACCAAACTGCCCTGAAATAGCAGCACAGCTCTCGAAATAGCATTATTTCTTCTCTTTTTGAAAGCAACACCCACACTGAATCTTTGATTTAAGCCATCCCCAAGCAGTTACCACATTTTTACCATTCAAGCCACAGGGAAAATCATTAAATCCAACAGCAACACTATGGGAAGAGAACCAGAATTAGAAAAGCCAAACACCGCATGGATTTACTCCCACAGTAACTGGATCGACTTCAGCCTGAACAGACTAGATGTGACTCCAGGAAAAATATGTCTCTCCAGGTGCAGCTGTATCAAAGAGACTTTCCCTGGGCTCGTGCTTTGCTGGAGCATTAAGCAAACCACATGTTCCAGCTCTGAGGCAGCAGACACGTACTCAGGGCTGGCCTCGGCACGCTGCGACTCACGCAGCCCTCTCCATCCTGCTGTCTGCACAAACACACCCCAGGAGCAGCACAGAGCCCAGGGCAGGGGAATTCAGGTTGGGAAGCAAGTCCTTAGATCCTAAAGGCTGGATTATTGCTGGCAGACTGGCTGTCTGGTCCCACCAAAAACTTCCCTTGAAGAAGAAGGGAATTTTCCCCATGGGTTTGAGTACGACAATAAGAAATATTTCAGTATAAAAGCAAAGAGATTCTCATCACTACTGACTGTCTGCATTCAGGTCACCTGGAGATATCCAAAGGAAATCAGTACTGCTATGGGAAATCGCTTATACAGGACCACATCCCTGCTGTAAAGTGACAATTCCCCCCGCTGAGTGATTTTCCTCCTGAGTGCAGGGGAATGGAGCAGAGAGCAGAATCAGCCCATGAATCATGGAATCACAGAATAGTTTAGGCTGCAAGAGACCTTTAAAGGTCAAACAATACCAAAGACAAGAAATAGAAGGGTGAAGAAAGAGATAAAAACACAACAGTGACACCTTCACCTTTGTTCCCATCTTGTTGCAAACTTCAAAATAAAGCCCGAGGATTATTTTTTGTCTGGAGATTCCAACAGAAAACCTCCTCCAGTCGACTTCTTGTGCTTTGAGGTTTTAAGTGCCTTGCAGGCAAAGTGGAGCCTGGAGTGCCGTGGGATGCACTCCAGTGATGGATTACCACTGCTGCAAGGTGCCTTTCATTTCCCCCGACACACCTGAACTCAAAACGTTTCTTCTCCACAACAATCAAGAGATTTTACCAAAACAAAGGGAAGTTTACTTTAGTATTGATCCTCTGTATGAAACTGTGCCTCAAACAGCTTCACAGAACTGAGATAAAATGTTGCTCAGAAAGAGAATAATTAAATATCACAGGCTGAGGAAAGAAAAAAAAAAAAAGATGTATTTTAGATCTAAGACATTTTTCACAGAGCAGGAAGATTTGTCATATGGTGAACAGTAGAAACTGTGAATTGGGACACTTGTGATTTATCTCTGCTTCCACAGCCTTCCCATATGACTGGGGTAAAAGAACCACAGTCCTACCCATAACTTGCTCAAAATAAAGCACAATTTCAATGTGTTTAGGTGGGAGCTCATTTTATTCAGCACACCACGCTTGATCCTTTCAGTATCTCAGCTTCACCGAATGTAAAACAGCACAAGCACCTGGCTGTGCCAGAAAAGCATTTCCATTAATGCCCTCGATGAAAAGGCATCAGTGTAAGGTATTAAATCCCTACCAGGACACAGCTATGTGCAAGTCAGATGAGATAACAAGCCAGTAAATTTCAAATCACTGCTTGCATCCATCCCATAACTACATGCTGAAATCCCTCCAGCTAGGCTGGCGTGTTGGCAGGAAAAAAATTGTCATTTCTAAATTTAGCAGACACCTCAATCATTGTGTGATGCTTCAAAAGCAATGGAGATGTAAAGTGGAATTTGTAGGACACCATTTAAACTGAAATGAGAGCTCTGCTCACTGAGCAAAGGCTTTTCTTAATTCCCTTCCTGTTTGGACAATTTGATCCACTTCTTTTTTTTCCACTACAACCACAAAGGTCTGTCCTGCAGTGAATGGATAGGCTTTTTTCTGGGATAACTTCCAGGTTAAAGAGAAAGGATTTACACTTGAATGAAACATAGGCACTGTATTTGGAAAATTTGTTTTGAAAACTTGGGAAGGAAGCAAAGCCTCCTTCATTTAAAAAGGGACTCAATTAACATTCTCCAACAAGTCTTCCTATCGAAAGGACAGTATTTGCTGGGGAACATGTGATCTGAAACTTGTTCTCCTCACTCACAATGTTCCTTTCTGAAATACAGGGCACTGCTTTGGAGAGACACGAGGATCTTTGCACAGCTTTCCAAAGGACTGCCTGTCACAGGCCAGGCCTTGACTCCAGACATCAGATCTTCTATGACTTAAGCTCAGGAAACTCAAAATAGTACTTAAAGATCCTAATGAAGACCTAGAGTGACACAATCCTACTGTGGCTCCCTCTACAAGGACAGCTCATCCATGTTCTGCCACAAGGGTGAGATGAATCCACGGCGTCACAAATTTCACCTCCTCATTGTCCTCAAAAAACACATCTTTAAAACTTTCTGGAAAGAACACACTAGAGATCAACCAAGCAGGTGTTCTGCTTTTAATTCCTGCCTGTCTGGGTGTGGGTTTGATCTGCAGCAGGCAGGGGTCACACAGGACCACCGTAAGGGTTCTCTTGGGTTTGAAAAGCAATCCTGTAAATGTTGGGCGTGTCTAGAAATTGCCTACGCAGGAGGAAGAAAACAACCCATGCCATTATTTTTTTTCCAGATAAAGAGGGGGGAAAAATGCTACTGACAGTTTAATATGCACTTTTATTTCTAAATTCCCTTATCAACTGCATATGACAGAGCATTCTTCACTCTTTAATAAGTACAGGCTGAAGTTGAGCCTGACTCGAAGCTGACGACGGATTGAGTCCACATCAATACCCAGCAGATTTGGATAGGAGATAAAGGCAATATTGGTGTGTATAGCTATAGAAAACATGCTATCAACACATCCAACACTTTGGGGAGACCATCTGTAGCAGCCCACTCTCCTTCATTTCTTCTGGATGCTTCCAATTGCAGCATGACCCAGGCACAAAGAACAGAAGGGAAGAGTTACCTGCAGCTACCCCCCACCAGTGCCTCAGAGGGACTACGTGAGCTGAACAAGGACACAGGCTCTCTCCAGAGCCTGTCCCAGGAATTTGGCTGCCCAGATGTCAGCTACCCTTTGGAAAAAAATACTGGTTTTCCCTGCTGATCATGCTGTTAGTGCAGGCACTAGATCAGGTGTGGATAACCACAAAAACTCTTCTGCATTCTATCACCATTCTTTAGTTCCTCCATCTGGGAGTTTGTCCACACCAACATGGACCAAAACACCCCACGGTGTCTTCCCTTCATCCAAAATAAAACCAGTTTAGGCGTTCTGTTTTTAAATAACATTTTCCATGGGAAAGTCAGCACGCTTTACATTCACAGTGCAGCAGAAGAGTTTCCTCACACAGACAAGTATCTCACTCTTAGCCCTGGTTGGTCACAAACACAGATGACAGGACAAAGAAGCAGAGGATCCTCTGTGCATCCCACACAAACCAGCCACGAGGTGCTTTGCACAGCTGGGAATGAGCTGCTCGGTGATAAACACGCTTAACAGAGTTTACATTTGCTTAAGACACTTACAGATTAAGAGGCTGGCTCCTGTCCTTCCTGCCAGCTACAGAAAGATGCTGGACAGCAAAAGGTGAAAATACTATTCCTATGAGGTTAAGCAAGAAATAAATGAGAAGTTGCAGGCATCTCACATGAGCTACAGAGCCAAAAGTTGAGCTCAAGTTGAGGTTTCTGTGAAAAACCTTCATCAGACAAAAGGAAATCCAGAAAATACATGGAGAGGACACACAGTCACTCTCCCATTACCTTGAGCTAAAGATCCCCTTGGCAGATCCATCTTTTGCACCCAGAAATGTCCCTTGCAGATCCCTTCTCCTGACAATAGAAGAGGTGGTGCCAACTCATGAAATGTGCTCATACCCACATCTTCCACAAGAATCTGACTTAGGTTTCACTGCACCTTTGGAAAGAGGCAACCCACTCCAAAAGTTTAAAACTGGGTAACTGCATTTTTTCAGGAAAGAAAGGGAAGAGTATTTAATAATCAAATAACTTCTCCTCATACAGAAACGTGGAAGCTTTCTGATCCTGTCCACTGTGTATCAGCATGTACTGGAAACAAGCTTTAGGACCCAGAACATGCTGCAAAGTCCAGTATCACACAAACACACAGGATGCTTCTCTCTGTTCTATCATGTTGGATTTAAAAACAGGTATTAAGTTATACTGCATGTTTTATTAAAAAGAATTTAGAAAGGGATCTAACTACTAGAAAAAGTGTGCTTTTGAAGGTGAAGCTGCCTGGCCAACGTGGATGAAGTTTGAAAGTGCTGTACCTCTGTGCTCTAGGACTCCAGCACTGATGTAAATGCTGCAGACACAGGGGCTCTGCCTTCAGTTACTGGGACTGAGGTGATGGGAACACAGCCCCATATTTACACCTCTGCCCCACTGTGCATCTTCTTGTGTCCATTTGTCACCGAGCACATCTTCCCCTCCCTGCTCCAGATTAAGATTAATATACTTATGCAGTTGTGAAGTGTCCTGCCTATTATCCAATTAGGCACCTAACGAGATCTGAGTAACAGCACGTAGGCACTGATAACTGCTGCCTGATATCAGTACAGATTAGACACGTTCTTTATGTTCCCAGCCCTTGCAGAAAAAGGGTTGGGATTCGTTCAAAGGCTGCTCCGAAGAGACTGCATTCAAGTAATTGTTTAATTTTGTTTGGGATCCATAAACACATCACGTTTGTTTCCTCTTGATCTCCTGGAGCTGTCATGTCACAACTGTCCCATCACAAAACTCCTGATCAATCTGGTGTGACTTGCTCAGTTGAACTTTCAGTGTGGACAGGGGCAGGACTCATCACCTCTATGGTCCCTTCCACCATCAGAAATCCATGAAGCAATAAAGGATCTGTGCATCACCAGGAAAAAATGTACAGGATTGATAAAGAGATTCAGAAATGCAATCTTTATTAGCTCTGACACTGTTCCACACAACATTCCTGTAAGATCCACCTAAGAAAACATTAATTAGATGTAATCACCATAAAATGGCTGCACAATAACATCCTTCTTGGAGCATAATTATCAAGGGTTTGTTATCTAAATGGGGGGGCACTGGAAAGCGGGACCAGCCAGGCATAAGAGCTGTGCAATATTTTTATTACCAGTAGGGATGACAGACTGGAATGTATGGCCATAAACATAACAGATGATTCAGCTGGGAGGATTTGCAAGCAGCATGGTGTACAGATTTCAATTTCTAAATGAGCTTCATGCACTGGTCCAATATCAGCATCAGGAAATAATCAAGAAAGAGAAGCCCCAGGTACAAAAACAGGAGCAACTCTCTATTCAGCAAGTCTCCAGAAAAAGCTCTTAGAGGGTCAAGGCAAAATGTGACATTCAACAATGACCCACAGGTGCATGAAGGCAAAGCCCAAGGGATGAGCCATGGAAAGCACTCAGCTATGCCTTGCAAAGCTCTGCCCTGAGCTCACTGCCATGCTTTTTGGAACAGCAGACCTGAGAGTACCCTGTGGAGAGCAACAAAATTAAAAAACACCAGGTGTGAGATTTAGCTGGATCTATTTAAGCCAGAAATGTTCCTAAAAACAGACTAGTGCAGACAAGCAAGCAGGACACAGCCTGGGGGGAGATCTCTCCTTCCAAATCCAGCAGGAAAATTCAGAGTTTGGTTCCCTTGAATTGAACCCTCTGGCTTTAATCTCTGTTTGAAAACAAGATAACAGCCATCAATGTGGGTGGAAAGAACAAGAGTCCAGGGCTTACCAACATAGAAAAATGGGGAGATACCAATTGGATGGGTCAAACACAAAGCTTTGAACTGACAGAGGGCAGGAATAGATGGGATATGAGGAAGAAATTCATCCCTGTGAGGGTGGGCAGGCCCTGGCACAGGGTGCCCAGAGAAGCTGCGGCTGCCTCTGGATGCCTGGAAGCGTACAAAGGCCAGGCTGGACTGGGCTTGGAACACCCTGAGATAGTGGAAGGTGTCCCTGTCCACAGCAAGGGATTGGATGGGCTTTCTGGTCCCTTCCAACTAAACCTGTCTGTGATTCCATGACTCTGAGGCTCAAATTTGCTTGGATCACTGAGCTGGAAAGGCAGCAGCCAACAGACTGGAACACCTGGTGTGGGAAGGGAATGAGAGAATGAGGTTATTGAACTTGGAGAAGAAACAGAGTTTAGTGGGGGATCCAGTTACTGTCTTCAACTACTTAAATGAGATTTTACTGAGCAGATGGAGCCAGACTGAATACTGATGCTAGAAGGGACCATAGAGGTGATGAGTCCTGCCCCTGTCCACACTGAAAGTTCAACTGAGCAAGTCACTGCAGATTGATCAGGAGTTCTGTAACGAGAAACAATGGGAATTACTCACAGTGGGAGAAATACTGATCAGACAGCAGGAAACTATTCCTCACCTCAAGAGCAAAAAGCATGACATCAACCTGCCACTCTTGACTGAAAAAGGTCCAAAAAAGTTCACAAGAAACCTACCTTTGATCCTGGCCCTGTCTGGAGCAGGAGGTCAGATGAGAGAGCTTCAAATCTCCTGTGCCACCTCACTTACTCTTCAATTCTAAGAAATCTTTATCAAGGAACATTGGAAAAGGGATTTTGCCCAGCAGTCTACATCACTCTACACCTCTTCAGTGCATGTAAGTACTTCAGACTCTAAAGCTGTCAATAAAATACCTTCCACATGACTAAAGATCCCAGTGTCTGCAACTGACAGCAAAAAAAAGTAAGGAATGAAACACCAGAGCTTTCACTGCAATTTGAAAGAGAACAAGATAAACTGGGGACTCGCATTACACAAGTTATCATACAGAAACTCTGCAAGAAAACTGAGGAATTCAAAGATACATAGTGATCAAACAAAAAAAGCCAGACGGCTCCTCCCTACCTGCTCTTCCCACAGCAATAAACACAAGTTAATGCCAAAAGATGTTTCAGACCTGTCCAGACCAGCCTTCATTTTGGTGAGAGCTTCTTCAGTTGTCTCAGGACAAAGGCTCTCTGTGTGCAGACAAACCTTTCACACACACTTACTACTCTCTCCCACTGAAAAGTATAATACAGGTGTTAATAGATGCAGAGAAAATACCTAGAACAATACACAAAGGCAAGTTTATCTTTTTTGGAGAAAAAACCCAAAGTGAAGGAGTTTTCCTTAGCAAATAATGCTTCTAGTGCTGGCTGATCTGTTTTCTGTCATGTTTTATATTTGAGTGCTACCTCTCACAATAATCTTCACATCCACTTTTTACCAGCTTTAGAAACACATGAATAGCTGAATCCTTCAGGGGAACAAAGGGACAGTAGGTAGAAAATCAGATGCACAGAGTGTAATCACAGCAGGGAGGGAGAAGGGAAGGTCACTCCTGAGCTACAGCTGGCAGATCAGAGCAGGAAAGCACAATGGCTGAGCTGTAATCGA